TTAATAGAGTGTTGGGTCTAAGGATGACGTAACAACTTATATCTACTCAGTCTTCGATTCTGAATTTGAAAACATCATTTGCAGCAACTGAGGAAAAGATCGGCCTAGAGAATACTGCATAATTCGAAAAACGGTCTTTACTTCGAAAAATGACACCTTCAAGATATTTCATATGCTTCGATCGCAAGAGTGTTTTCCTAAGGCTAAAAAGTAGATTTTGGTGATCAGCAAATCTCTATCGAATGATGAAAAAATCCAAAAAAAAATTTATTAGAAGTTCGAACTGCCTGCACCTTATAGATGGATTGATGTGTGTGTATGTATTGCAAAGCTGACTGAGACTGAAGCCTAGAATCAACAACCGTATAGATGCTAGCTCACTTCGAGTTACAGCTATACACGCCAAATCATAACACCTTCATATTCGACACTAGCACAATGACAAACAATACTGTCGTTCTTACCTTCATAATTATTGTTGCCAAAAATCAATGCCAATTTCTTTTTTCCACGTGCGCTCCATTGAGAAGCTACTTCGGTAGGTCTGGTATAAGTATTTTCACTCATTCGTATATTATTCTGAAGGAAATACACAAAAAACAAGAAAATTCTCAGTTAGTAGGATGTGTGGGTAGGGAAAGGAGTACATTAAAAGCCATACCCACACACCTATTCTCGAAAAGCATTTGCAGCTATAGTCCATTCAGAGTTAAATGGCCGTGGGCATTTTTTGAATAGCTTTCGATAGGTACAAGATAGAAAGTTGCGGTTTTCACTATTGGAAAGCAGCTTATCTAGCCCATCGATTCATGTAAAATTGTTGAAATTTATTTCATAATTCAGTAGTGATCCATCGTCATCTTGGAAGAGTTGACTGTTGCCATATGAAGATAGAATCAATTTTAAACTTAAAGGGGTGGGCTAGAATCGCCAGCTGACGGGCTACAAATCTAGAAAAGGCCGAAGTTTTTATCTTGATTTATAGAAAAGTTAGAAGCATGACACTGACTGCATTTTTACGCAGTTTTTTGTCAATTTTATCGATTTTTTGGCAACTTTACCTTGAATTGCAAGCGACACATTTTAGGTTTCGTTTTTTAGGCAAAAAATCGATGAAATTGACAAAAAACTGCGTAAAAATGCAGTCAGTCTCATGCTTCTAACTTTTCTATAAATCAAGATAAAAATTTCGGCCTTTTCTAGATTTGTAGCCCGTCAGCTGGCAATTCTAGCCCACCCCTTTAAGTTTAAAATTGATTCTATCTTCATAGGGCAACAGTCAACTCTTTCAAGATTGCCATGGATCACTACTGAATTATGAAATAAATTTCAACAATTTTATATGAATCGGTGCGCTAGATAAGCCGCTTTCCAATGGTAAAAACCGCAACTTTCTATCTTGTACCTATCGAAAGTTATTCAAAAAATGTCCACGGCCACTTATCTCTGAAATGGACATTAATTGGCATTAATTTTCGGCGCGAATTTTCTTCAATGTCCGAAGATCGTTGCCTGCGTGTGATTTCTTGATCAGCGACTTGTTTAGCGGCCATCATTGAAATAGTTTTAGTTGATTGAAATCAAAAATTAAAAATCTACAAAAGAGGACATCGATTCCTAGAACTAAACTGTTGAATTATTGTCTATCTAATAAGAAACAGAACGCTTACAAGCAGTAAAAATTCATCAAATTCTTTCAATCCTATCTGATAAATACGAGATAGGCAATCTTCATTCATAAAAAGCTTTAAAGATAAGATGTAAAAGAAACTCTTCAAGTAATTACTTACCAAAAACAGCAATTTGATATTGAGAAAAAACAAAACAATACTTCCTTCGGTAAACCGTAAAAAGAATGAAGGGTCTGGGTGTGGGGCGTAGGTGGATGGGTTTGGGTGTCTGGTTGGGTGGATATGGGTTCCATGAATTTCGATCCGATCCGAAAGTTCGGACCGAAACTTCTGTGAGCCGAGATTCTGGTCTTTCGTGAATATGGATGTTTTGGTGGATGGGTGTGATTGGGTGTGGGTGGATGAGTGTAGTTGATTGTGGGTGTCTGAGTGGGTGGGTGGGTGGATATGGGCTTTTGAGTGGGTAAATGAGATTAGAGACTAGGTAGATGAGTGTGGGTGTTTAGGTGGATGGGTGTGGAGTGTAAGTGGATGGGTTTGGGAACTGGGTAAATGTGGGTGGGTGTGGGATGTGGGCAAGAGGTAGGGATGTACCGAGACTGAAGATCCCCTGACAAAGATGAAAATTTTTCTCACACAAGAACCCCCGAGACTCGACGAGATTTTTATTTAGAGTTGCTTAGAGTGACTTGCTCTAGCTGTTCATACAATCGGCCAAATCGATCAAGATAGTAAAAGGCTAAGATTCGGTCAGTCTCGGTCGAAAAATTGAAAAATATAAAATTTTTCCCGAGACTGACCGAGACTCGACCTTTTACTTTTTTGATCGATCTGTCTGATTCTATGACTAGTCAGAGCAAGTCATTCTGAGCCACTCTCAATAAAAATCTCGTCGAGTCTCGGGGGCTCTTGTATGAGAATTTCTCTCATCTTTGTCAGGAAAACTTCAGTCTCGGTACATCCCTAGCAAGAGGGGAAAAGTGGATTCCCTGGTTCCGGGATCCAATGGGAATCCAGAGAATCTGAAGGCCTAGAGGATCTGATGGGGGTTCTGGGAATTCCAAAGATTCCATGGAGATCCAGGGTATCTAATGAGAATCTAAAAAACATCTTTCGGTTATATCGAATAAAAATCGATGAATTCAGTAAAATACACATTATACGAGATAGACACTATAAGAGCAATGACGGCTTAGTGTTGATTAAGATTTTTCTACTCATATCAATCAGTTTTAATATTATTTTTTTTAATATTTTTTTAAGCAGATTACTTTATCTTCTGTAATATGATGAACTTAAATTCAAAAGAATAACGGTATAGACTACTTAATGTTTGCTTGTTCGTTTTCTTTAACGTTCATCCCTTATGTGTACGCAGTCGACCGTTTAAATAGCACATAAGAAAAAAAAATAATAAAGGAGGGGGACACTTTGTAACGAAAATGGCCCTAAAAGCAAAACGAGTGTGTGGTATGGATGGATGTGAGTAGGTGAGTGTGGGTAGGCGTAGGTTTGAGGTGTTGGTGGGTGTGAATCTGTGGATGTTTGGATGGGTGTGGAAGTGAGTGTGGAGTGGGTGGTTGTGGATATGGATGTCGGTATGAATGTGGGTAAATATAGGAATAGGTCGGTGTGAGGATGTACGGGTCCAAGTGGTGGTGGTTGTTCATTCCGCTCTATTCTCAAATCCAAACTGGCAGACATGCCTCGCGGGTATGGGTGTGGGTGTGGTCGCTATTGATCTCTTTTCTTATAAACCAACATCCTGCACCCGTCGAATAGAGTGTGAAATTTTGCAAGCATTGAGCTAGGATTCAAGAGTGGCTTATGTACTTAGACGACTCGTTTTAGGTTCTACGAGAACCGCAATTTCATCCCCATAGGCTTTATGAATTCCTTCGGTTTTTCCAACGAACAGGTGAATGTTTCGAGAAATACGATCATATCATTAGATAAAGCTCGCCCAGTTGAAAGTGGCTTCATTGATCAGGCGAATTATCGCGGTAAAAACTAGAATCGACCGCTAACTTTCCTTACATGAATTGATTTTAGTTGAACTTTATGATCCTAGTGTATAGACAATACTGTACGAATATTTGATTATTTCTAGATACATAAACTTTGATGGCGTACAATGTCTTTCATACTTGATAGTCTAAAAAGTCTATCATTCTTTATCAGCGTGTCTTGTTTAACGATGCCAACAGATTCGCATCATAGACAAATAAGTATCAACGCGTGTAGTCGATTTCAACTTTATTTCATTTTAGCAAATTTCTTTTTGTGTGTTCGCCATCATTGCTTGTTTGCTCTTCGTATTGTGTACTTTACTGTTGCCATGAGCAATGCTTCTCATGGAAGCGTATGATTGAGAAGTTTGAAAAAAAACAAAAAAAAAAGAGAGAGAAAAGAAAAATAAATAAAGCTTTTTTATGTTTCACAAGTAATACAAGAGTTCTTCAGCAAACAAACAACGCATTTTGCATATATAACATTCAACCAACTTGAAGACTGTTTTTATTGGAGTTGTTTCAAAAATTTTATATCAACTATCGTATCTTGGTAAGTAACTTACGACTATGGTTCCTAATCGAATGTTCGAGTATTTTAAACGTCATAATTATAAGAAATGTAGGACTAGAATATTAATTACTAAGAATCAAGAGAAAAACTAAATGGATATGCACCACAGACTTTCGTTTATTTGATCGACTCATATTTCATTTTCACTTGGTAGTCTATCGAGTGTATTTATCTGTATTCATCACACGCGGTTTTATTGATTTAGTGGTTCTTTCTTGTAGAAATTTGTCCACATCTTACATAATTAGCTTTATACGTGCGTGTTCTATTCTATTTATGACCTTTTCGCGATCCTCGATATTGAGACCGAACTATAGAAATAATATCACGAACTATTTCAAAAGATAGTCACGAGAGACGATATTTCCATGTTTTAAAAGCTCGTCTATGAAGAATGAGAGAATCCTTAATAGCAGCTGTAAAATCTTTGTTTATAAGATTTAAGTGCCTGCATAGATGCCGACGTCGCTGATAACAAGAGTCTCATCCACCGACGCTCACACCAATACCCACACAGCTATACTCACACATGCATCCAAACCTACATACACCCACCCACTTGATGTAGATGTCGGCATCACTGATAAAAAGAGGCTCATCCATCCACATCCAAGACCTGCATACTAACACCTACAAATACCAACGCCCACACAACCATACCCACGAACCCCCAAATATTGGGTGTAAGCGTAAATGTCAGCGTCGCTGATAACAAAAGTCTCACCCACCCCACACACACCCACACCCCACAAAGATGATCGATAGAAATAGAATAAAAAATGATAATCAACGAGCAGCTTGATCACTGTCGATTCGTCGTCGTTTTTTTGTTGATTGTTTTTGATTATTATCCTTATCTTCCATCGATTCACCTTTGATTGATTTCTCTAATAAACGATTGGTTTCGATAATATCTTGTTTTTTTTAATGATATAGTTTTGTCTCCATGCTGAATAACAGTTGGTATTTCAGTAAGAATTGTATGTGAATCAAGTTTATCTTCATAATCAAGCTTAAAACGTGTATTTTCATCAATTTTAGTTTCATCACCATGTTCATCCATTATTGAACACCATCGAATACGAATTTGAAGAGACGGATTGTGATGATGAGTTTACAACTAATGATTCTTTATATTTCTTACCAGTCACACTCTCGGATTCCGATGTAGAATCACCATCATCATCTTTATCTAGATGAATTTGATCGAATATTGGTTTATTAATACGACGACCATCTTGATGAACCTAGTAGATGAAAAATAAATAATTAAGATTTGCGTTTCAAATTCATGCTAATCTCATGAATGTTCATATCTGTATAATTATAAAAACTAATCAGAGCTTCTATTACTTACATTCCAATAGTTTCCATTTAATCCTGTAACAACAGATTTTTTTCCTCGCGTTCTGTTATCATTGCTTATTTTTGGTCGGTTGAATTTCTTAAACAATCGGTTCTATTCGTATTCATTAATACAAAACTGTTTACTCGTTTTATCGCAGTAATTTTCTTCGTTTGAACATGCTTTGTAGAAGACATAACTGGTTATATTCTTCCTTTCTTTTTTACCAATGAAGCTTTGTTATTTTCAGGGGCCTGAAATAAAATTTATTATACAAAAATTTCTTGTGATATTCGTTTTTATTGAAATACAATACGTCATCAATTTTTAATTTGGATGATTTTCTTCTCAACCGACGTCTCTCATCGTCTGACAAATCATTTGTATCCATAACTAGTCTATAATATGCAGAAAGAGATGCATTAATTCATAACCGATGAAAATAAAAATCTAGGAAATAATGCACTGTAAATAATCAATATGTTTTTCTTTTCCTACCAAGGACAGCAATGTGCATGAAGAAACATGTGAACAATACTTTGTTATATATCAACGAGCACGGAACAGAACAATAAAAAACATAGTAATGTTATAAGTATGGTGAAATTACTTTTCTCTTTCGCTGAATGTGCGACTTTTTGACATGCGTACTTGTGTATCCTTAACGCCAGCACAAAAATTTTCGTTGAATCTATACTGATTTCTTTTTATATTGTTATTTTAGTATAGATGACACTGTTTCAAACCAGCCGATTGCATTGAACCTACATGGAAAGCAATGCATTGGAGACAAACACACAAATCCGAGAGATATCCAAGTACTGAGAAATAGGATTTCCTACTCACTGGTCAGAACAGGGAAGAAATCAACGTTTTGTGCGCCAAAGCTGATGTTTAGTTTTTTGGGTGTGGATATAAATCGTGTGAGCACTCACATCAACACCGACACCGTATGCCTACCCACATAGGATACCATTGAGGGTCTATGGGTATCCCATTATAGTAGTCCTCGGCGCCTTCCCCTTATAGCCTTATTGGATCTTTAACCATTGACCCAGCACAGACACACACACTGAACATTTTATATATATAGATTCTTGTAAAAGAGAACTAAAAATATGGTTCATGATAGTATGTGAATTGATATTGATCACACCAACGTTTGATATCCTCGCCCATGACCGGTTTGCCTGTAAAGAAGACACTGGTTCTTCGATATTCAGCTTTAAACTTGGCAAATAACAGTGACCATTGCGGTCTGCCCAAAATTGTTTTTGTTCTCATTTTAGTGAGAACATCACGATTTGATACATTCTGATAGATATTAGCGGCAAGATCAAATGGAGCATAGCCAATCATTCCTTGATTATTGCTTTTCAATGATGTAAAATAGAAATGAAAGTCAATATACCGTTTTGGAGTGACATTGTTGGCTCGTAATGTTTCAAGATAAGTTAATTGTTCATTTTCGAAGTCATTCAATAATTGCAAAAACCAAGAAAAGTTTTCGACATCACGATTTACCCAAATAAAATCTACTTTTTGTAATTTACGCTGTTGAATAGCTTCATGATTGTAATTCACATGACAACATTTCTCGCAAATGGTTTGTTGTTCTCGAAAATAGTGCATTAAACATTCGAGAGCACTTGCATATGGAGTAATACCTAAAGAAAAATAATGAATAGAAAAACATATTTCGAACAATCACATTGTACAACATATCAAGTGAATCAAAATAAAGCATCAAGAAGATCATAAATTGTGCTTTAAGTATACTGTATGAAAATTTCGATGATTTTTTAATCATAAACGCTTTTCAGAGGGTATGCCAGTTATTTAAATGAAAATTATGTAAGTACTTTTCTAACACTTCATCTTCAATAAAAATATCAATAGGTTGGATTTGAATCGAAGACATTGATCAAGTCTGCTCTTTTTCAACCGATAGATCTTGTGTGATTCCTTGAACTGTCAGTTGAAATAACACGATTAATTTAAATATTTTATTTTGAGAACAAAGAAATCGATCGATTGTCGACATCAAGTAAACTCACATCGCTCTTTCAAACGTGACCTACTATTCCAAGCTATTTGCTTTTGCTAACATTTACCTATAAAACCAATGATTCTTGAAAATCCATTCTAGTATTCAAACAAGCACTTTTAGCAAATGCCGAAAAAAACAAGCATTTTTGCTAACAAAAACACATTTCTACTACAAAAAAAATACAGTAATTTTAATTTAAAAAAATTGATTTTTTATGTGATAAAATTCAAAGAATCCACTGAATTTCCGAGTTATGTCTTTATGCAATTCCTTTTGTAGATGGCCTTCTAAGCAGGGTGATCTTTAAATATAAGATAATCTTCTACTTTATAAGCAGTATCTGGAAATTCCAAATTTATACGACATGATTTAGTTGAATACAATCAGACGAATTTGAATTTCACAGAAAACAATTGTCTGTCTTGAGTTTTGCCACCTAAATTATTACAGACACATCGGTTTTCTATTTCTTTTTCAATCTGCCATAATCTCTACAAAAATTTCGTATGCTATTCACATTATTTTCTTCTTCAGTTCTAGACCTTGACTTATTCCCTATTCAATTAGAATATTTTCAATAGTTCTTATTAATATTTTAGCATCTTGAATATATATGATAGAATCAAATGTATGACTCAAGTTAAGAAGTTGGAAATATTTCTTTGCTATCAAGAATAGAAGAAGTTGTATTCAACCGATTGAGTAAAAGTTGGAAATAGTCCTAATAAATACTGTCATATAATATTTGTACATGCCGATGCCTGCTCCAATTAGAACAACATGTTCACAATTGAACATATAGGATGTTGAACTGCTATAAGGTCCCTCAATCCAAATGGATTCAGTACTGTTCAATTGATAAGGATAATTAACTTCAGGAGTAGGCATGTTGGTAGTCACTGATACGGTTGGTACTGTAAAAGTTTCGTCGTGTATATTTTGACGTTCCCACACTCGATAAAAATGATTATATACTTTTCGTGTCCAATTCTTCGTTTTCCTCATATGAATTCGTAGAATATCCTTATTTTTTGGACAGCTCGAAATTGTGAATGGATGCCATTGAAATGAAGCTGAAATAAATGAACATTAATATTATTTATCTTGATCAGCAATGAATTTTATCGTTACCTATCCTATGAAAACAAACATAAACATAGTCGCCTACGTTAAAGTTAAAATATGCAGGTCTCTCAATGATAAATGATATTGTACTATCGTCTTCAATTTTAAACGATTTCAAATGTGTTCGACCGTTTTTTGGCAAATAACGTTTTAGTAAATAGACTTTTTCACACATATATAAAAACATGGGTCCACATGTCCATTTCCAAAATTCTCTTGAATGAATAACAAGAAGTACGAAGATGGGCCAGAAGAGCAAATGCGTATAGTGAAAAAACATATAAAATCCTTCACGTTGACGGATGCATTGCAATGAAAAAATAATCATCAAAGAAAATAACACAAAAAGAATATTGCCAGTTATAGCAGCCGATCCATCTACCCAACCTTGCTGTCGAACAGTCGTAAACATTGATTGAAAAAATGAATAACCTAAACGAGAGTTCAGAAAAATTCAACGTAGTAAACACGTAGGTGTGGGTGCGGGCGTAGATGTGGGTGTGTGGGTGTGGGTCTTCTCTGAATTCCTACCAATATTGACACTCACTCCAGACGCATCCACAGCCAAATTTCTTATTTTTACGCTTTAATCCAGCTCGTCCTTGTTTTTGCAATTCACAAAAAGTATACCTTTGAAAAAGTGCAGCTCTAGTGATTAATCTATCAAATGAAAAGTCTTTGATCGATCAGAATTGGTTTTTAAACCTAAATTTTTCTGAACTTACCCTGTGTATTTGTAGCATAGTTTATTATGTGAGCTAATGAATGAACGACAATGTAGAATCCCAATGCACCACCGACATAGCGATGAGCATCAATATGATCGTCCACAGGTAGAAAGCGTCTCAACCATCGATTTGTTCGTATTAATGCCATACAATGTTTGAGCATGAGTATAATCGAAAGGATATAGTTTAATGTGATCGAACTTCCAGCCATACGTGCAAGAATTAGCCAGACGTTTCGATTTTGTTCTTTAACAACCAATTTAATTATCAAAAAAATATCTAAACCAATTGTGGCTAGTATGTATACAAGAATAATGAGAATATGATATTTGTTGTTTCTTCGCCATGCTTGCCATTTTAGTTTATCAATTTGATCATTATTATTTGGAATGTTGATAAGTTGAAGAGATTCTAATGAGTTTGGTGTTTCTTGAAGAATTGTATAGAATTGATCGAAATTCATTTGACGATTAGCATCCCACATTCGAAATGCTTGAAGAAATACATCAATCAATTCTTGACGACATGAAGAATCATGAGGAAAACGAAATTCAATAAGATAAGTTTCGTAAAATTCTCTTATTTCTTCAACAGACACATGTTTATCATCGTTACGATCGAATGTTTTGAATAGAATGAGAGCTTTGACTGATATAGGTGCCATGGAAAGTACATGAGCAATACGAATAACACGCTTGCCATTGATTGAATTCACTTGAATACATGCCGTCTCTCCAAATATGTCAAGCAAGCGTTCTCCTAAAGAGATACAAAATTATTCTCGGAAAAAATTCAATTTTATTTTACCATGTGTCTTCGTCAATTGAAAGAATTTATAAAATTCTTCAATTGTAAATTCCTTGTTACTTATATCACCATTAAAGTATTGGAGAAAAATATGATAATCACGATCCGGTATTTTTTCATTGAGCAACTCTTGTAAATGATGTTCAACATAATCTGCTACATTTTGCCTGTTCGCATTAGTTGAATGTCGTCTGCATATATACAAAAACAAAGTAATCAAAAGTAAATATAATTCATTTTTATTTCGAGACTACAGCAACAATTACCGTAATGGTGCTAATCGAGGGATAGAAATTCTAAACAATAAAATATCAGTTACAATAATTGTTAGTTTTACAAGAAAGAAAAGTTGTCTCACATAGATAACAATGACGTTTTGGTTTCATTTGGAAATAACGTTTGATTTATTATTACCTGTAACACAAGGTAGATGATAAAAGTCATTAGTTTATTATTGATCTCGTCTGAGAACATGTTTACCTGTTGTGATGAATGCCTATCTGTTGGCTTTGATGTAACATCTAGATCTATCACAACATCTATACTATTTTCGTTGGATATTGTTCGTTGGAGTAATTTTCGTTCCGATAGTATATTTGATGAAATAGCTGTTGGTAACGATATCGCTGTTATAGGTTCAGATGATTGGTTTGCATTTTCAGAACTTATTAAAACAGAAGGGTTACATGACTTTTGGCCTAGGCCTAAATTCTTCTCATTAATTTCTCTAAAAATCCAAAATCCTATGAAAAG